TAAGCGCACAAGCGCGTCCGAAAACCGCGCTGTGGGGTTGGGGTGCGTGACGTTCTGGGAGAGGTGAGCTGTGGCGAGGTGACGAGGGAAGGCTGCGGAGGTGAGCATGGGGGTCTCAGGGCCGCCAACGGCTCTGGGTGGTCCTGTGACCGATGTGTGTCATTGCATGTTTGTCCAGACCCGTGGAGCGTGTGCCTGCAAGCGTGACCCTTGATGTGAACTGTGAGCTTTGGGCGAGCGTGACATACTGGCATGGGCCGTGGGTCGGAGCAGCTGCACCCCAGGGGCTGGATGGTGGGGTGTCTGGGCCGCGTGAGGGCTGGGCACTCCCTGCCTTCCACTCGGTGTTGTGAACCTAAAATGGCTCTGCAGAATAGGGTCTATTCAGATGTTTTTTCAGGCCAGGTGCGGGCTCAGCCTGTCATCCCAGCACTTGGGGAGGCCGAGGCGAGAGGCATGCCCAAGCCCGGTGGGTTTGAGACCAGCCTGGGCAACTTGGTGAGACCTCGTCTCTACAATGAATCACACACACAAAAATGTTTTTAATTCAAGGAAACATTCAACATTAACTAGAGGACGTGGGTTTGAGTTAAACATTTAACTCAAACTAGAAGACGTGGGCTCCTGGGTAGAAGGGGCTCGTGGACCCCCTGCACAGGGTGGGGCTGTCTCCCTCCCAGGAACCTCGTGTGGTATCTTGGGAGACCATAGGGGACGGCGGAGGCTGCGGCAGCCTGGCTAGCGCCTCCCCTGGGGAGACTCACACTCAGGCATGAGGGTCTCTCAGCTCTCTTCAGGGAGACGCGAGGGATTTGCCTTACTGACATGTGGAGCACAATGGAGAAAGAACCCCGTGGTGTGTGCCTCGCCTTAGGGAAAGGCGTGGGCCGGGGCCGGAGGCCGGGGAGCCCCAGCCTCATCCAGCCCAGTCACCGCGGTCAGGCTGCCCCAGAGAGGACGCGTAAAGAACACACCGAGCAGCACCAGTGGAGGCGGGACTGAGGCGGCGATCCACGGAGGGAGCTTGCTTAGTGCAGACCCCGGAGGCGAGGCGGCGGGCATGGCAGTGGGCACTCCTGCCCAGGACGGGGGCGGACAGGCGACAGTGCACCTGTCCTCCGCTCCTCTGAGGAGGCAGGCGTGGTTCGAGGAGGGATGGGGGTGTCCACCAGCGCTCCCTGGAGAAGTGTGAGAGCTGCCAGCCTAGGACGCGGGCTTTCGAGAAGGAGATGCCTTCGGAGAAGCAGACGGATCCCACCGGAGAGCGGAGCTCAGGAAGGCAGAAGCGACCCTCAGGGAGGCGTGGGCGGGCTGCGAGGCCGAGGAGGGCGCGTCTGGACAGGCGTGTCCCGGACGGGTCCTGGTGAGCGCTGGCTCAGGACGAAGAGCAGGTTGGGCCTGAGCGGAGCGCCGGGGGAATCTGAGGAGGCAGGACCAGGGAGGGGGAGCTGAAGTCTGTTAGACCAGCACAAGAGCAGACACGTTTGGATAGTAGAACAACACAGACTGTGGCGGCCAGTTCAAGGAGGACAGGAGCTGTGCACTCCCAGCACCTGGGGAGGCCCAGGCAGGAGGATTGTGTGAGTCCAGGGCTTCAGCACCAGCCTGGGCAACATAGCAAGTCCTCGTTTCTACAAAAAACTAAAAAATTAGCCAGGCATGGTGGCACGCGCCTGTGGTCCCAGCTCCTTGGGAGGTTGAGGTGGAAAGATCTCCCAAGCCCAGGAGGGTGAGACTGCAGTGACTGTGAACCTAGCACTGCCCTCCAGCCTGGGCCACTGAGTGATACTCCAACTCAAAAAATAAAATAGTGGCTTCACCCTCTCAGCAGTTTTTCTAATGTTTTTTAATTTATTTTTTTATTTGTATTTATTAATTTTTTGAGTTGGAGTCTCACTCCATCGCCCAGACTGGAGTGCAGTGGCCACTCCTGCCCACCTCAGTCTCGACCTGCTGGGCTTCGGCGATCCTTCCGCCTCAACTTCCCAAGTAGCTGGGACTACAGGCGCACGTTACTATGCCCAGCTAATTTTTTAAATTTTTTTGTAGAGATGAGGTCTTGCCAAGTTGCCCAGGCAGGTCTTGAACCCGCAGGCTCAGGCAGTCCACTCGCCTCGGCCTCCCAAGGTGTGGGATGACAGGCTGAGCCACCGAGCCTGGCCTTGTTCTTTTTTTGTTGTTGTTTTTTTTTTGAGTTGGAGTCTCACTCTGTCGCCCAGACTGGAGTGCAGTGGCCACTTCTGCCCACCTCAGCCTCGACCTGCTGGGCTCCAGTGATCCTTCCACCTCATCCTTCCAAGTAGCTGGAATTACAGGCATGCACTACCATGCCCGGCTGATTTTTTGATTTATTGTAGAGATGAGGTCTTGCTGCCCAGGCGGGTCTCGAACCCGTGAACTCAGGCAATCCACTCACCTCAGCCTCCCAAAGGCGCGGGATTGCAGGCTGAGCCACCGAGCCCGGCTTGGCCTTGTTCTTAAATTTAAAGAGTTTGCTTTACTGTCATCCAGTAAAGAACTGTTTGTTTAAATTATCAAGTAAAGTCACTTTTGTTGAAAAGCAGCACAGGTCGTGTGATCCCATTTGAATGTTGCTGCCTGTATCTGGGCACAGGTATTGGAATGGTAAGCTTCTGACGGAAACAAAGGCAAGGCTTTGGCTCTTGCGTTTGGAGGTTTTTTTCCACTAGTTTTTGTACTTCTATACTTTATTTAAATTATTTGCAAAGAGCATGTGCCAGTTTTGCAAAATCAAAGAAGTAAATTTGCTTTCAAAATACAAAGAGCAGGAACAACGAGATCTGGTCAGTTCTGTGCTGGGCGTGGGAGGGGGGACGGTTGTCTTTCTGCTCCTGGGTGTTGTTGAAGCCTCACCCCCAAAAAGAGAGTCCAGACGTTTACATACTGTGTTAATAAAAGTAGTGACTAGCTCACAGCTGTAATCCCAGCACTTTGGGAGCCGAGGCAAGAGGATTGCCTGAGCCCAGAGGTTCAAGACCAGCCTGTGCAACCTGACAAGACCTCGTCTCTACAATAAATCAAAAAATGAGCCGGACGTGGTGGTGTGCACCTGTGGTACCTGCTACTTGGAAGGCTGAGGTGGAAGGATCGCCTGAGCCCACGGCTGCGGTGGCCGTGAGTGTTCCACTGCACTCCAGGCTGGGCGACAGAGTGAGACTCTGACCCAAAAAAAAAAAAAAAAAAAAAGAAAGTAGAAAGAACTGAAGTGATCAGCCTGAACATTGCCCTTGGACAGGCAGGACGGGCCGAGTCTGAGGGAGGCCCGCAGCCCCCCACGCTGTGCAACTCCAGGGCAGTTACTAAGGTCTCTGAGCTGCTGGATGGCCCATTCACCATGAGGTTCTGGTGAGGGGCTCCTACATGCCGGCCTGCCACAGCCTCTGAGAGCCAGTTAGCTGCTGTCAGAGAACATGGCGAACACCAATGACCCGGGAGCCCAGAGCTGCCCTCATGGCCGCCCTGGCGGAGGAGACTGGTGCTGCTATTCCTTCTCTGACACGCTGTCCTGCGCGCCAGAGGCTGTTGCCCTCCTGGTCGTGTCCTGTGACCAGGCGAAGAGTGCCCCCCGTGCAGTGCATCAGGGAAGCACGGTCCTGCCAACAGGTAGGGCCTTATTGGGTTTGGCCGAGGGCCTTGGGTGCAGCACCTGGGGTGGCCTCTGTCCGCCTTGTCTTCGCTGGGGGAGAGACAGGGTCCATGTGCCCTGCACAGCGAGGTCGGTGTCTAGAGCTGGGCTTCAGCAGGAAAGCGCCTGGGCTTCCTCCAGTCATGTGGTGGTCTGCCTGTGGCCATGAGGGCACCCTGTGCTCACTGGCATCACGGTGGAGGGGCGTCAAGTCTGATGAGGAGTCTTTAGTGTTTGAGAGGACAGCCAGCATCTCAGGGCCTCAGGGGAGATGGTGTGGAGTGAGGAGTCCGTGAGGGAGTTTCATGGAGGAAAAGCGCTGTGAACCTTAGGTGGGGGAAGGGAGTGGAGCGGGCGGGTTGAGAAGCTGGGAGGGCCCAGGGATGGAAGGCCGGGCCGGGGCAGCGGGCCCCACAGCTCCAGCTGGCTCCTAAGGTCTTGGGGGCGCGGTGCCTCCACCGTCAGTGACGTGCCCTGGGGACAGAGGATGCAGGATGAGCCTCCCAGAGCCTGGCCCCTCCCTGGCCCCCCGTGCCGTGGGTGGTTCACCAAGGCCCGCTTGTGAAGCGCCTTCTGCTGTCTGGTGGGCCCGCCACACGGTCCACCTGGCTCTGAACGCCTCAAGCTCCCTTGTCCCCGGGCCACTGTCTTGGTGCTGGGTGGCTGTCCGCGTGGCTTTGTGAGCCAGAAACTTGTCATTCTTGACAGGTCTCCCTTCCATACCCCCAGAGGCTATCAGTCCTTCCTCCCCATCTGGTGACAGGTCTGTCCCTACCTGCCCCCATGCCAGGCCACCTTCCATGTTTTCTGACCCTGCACTTGACCTCCTCACCGTCACGCAAAACAACCCATGCAGTGGCCTCTCCAGCCCTGGCCTAGAGCTCACAGGTTGCCTGTAAGAACTTGTCATGTGGGTGACTAGGACTCAGGTCTTATTCCGTACCCACCTGCGTGGTCTCCAGGAGCCCAGCATTCTGAAAAACTGGGCCAAAAACACCAGGGCTGTGGAAAAAGGAGTTAAGGGCCAGGCATGGGAGCCCACCCTCCGGCCTCTGCTTGGCAGCAGTCAGGCAGGCCCAGAGGATCGCCAGGGTTTGGCTCGAGGAGCCTGCTGTCCTCCAAGCAAAAGCCTCTGTCGGGACATTGCTCTCCGTGTCCTGTGTGCCTGGGGACGCCGTCCCCACCGTGGCCAGCATGCATACCCCGGGACCCGCTGGCACCTGCCCTCTCAGCACCTTCCCCTTTGGGCAGGTTCCCCTTTGGGCACCTTCCCCTTTGGGCAGGTCGACTCTGCCCGCTCTGAGTGGCTGTCGGGGTTGCTGCTGACTGTCTTGCTCTCTCCCCCCTCACCCAGTGAAGATCGTGATCCGGGGTGACAGGAACACGGGCAAGACGGCGCTGTGGCACCGGCTGCAGGGCAGGAAGTTTGTGGAGGAGTACATCCCCACTCAGGAGATCCAGGTCACCAGCATCCACTGGAGCTACAAGAGTGAGTCCCCGGCAGCCCAGGGCCCTCGCGGAGCGCCGATGCCCGGGCCGGCTGCGCTCAGCGAGCCGTCTGGGGTCTCCCCTGCTGTGGGACGTAGATTCGGGCTGAGTCTCAGGCTGTGGCTGTGGAGGCCGCAGGAGGTCCCTGGTCGGCACACAAGGAGGCCCGCGGGCAAGCCTGGGCATGGTGCTTCC